GATGTACACCAAGTTCCCATTCAGAGTGACCTTGATGCGAGTGCGTCCCTCCGTGGTGTATACGGCTTCCCCAATACCAATACATTCTTGTCGTTCACTTTCATCAATTTGGCAGCCTACCTTACGAGCAAAGGCAATATACAGAATGGATATCTCGGCACCAGTATCGAACAACAAATTTGCATGGTCGTTGTTGACCTTTCCAGAGGCTTTCGCTTGCCTGAACCATTTAGTAGGGGCGTGGTATTTCCAGTACCCCCTAGACTCGCCTGGCAATAAGTCCAACTCCATTACTGAACTTTCTCGAGCAAAACTATTAGGTTCATTCAAAGAAGCAACATGGACCACAGGGTAATTTCCAATCTTCGATATATTTCCAATCTTAACTGGAATACCCGTCCCCTCCTTGGGCTGTTTCTCCACATATGCAAAGATGCAACAATTAGAACGCTCGGCTCGTACCAGATTCAAACCTGGCGAGTGTCCTAATTTGCCATCTTCTCGAGTTTCTCCGGGAACATCCCTGCGTGCTTGGCTGGGTTGTACCATTGACGGAACAAATTATAGAACTCCTCCATCTGGCACTTCCCAATCTCGTGAATCTCTCCACATCCCCGGCATACAAACAGGCAGCGGTCAGACGGGTGACCTTTCCTTCCACAGCGGTCGCAGGTCAATCTTTTCCAGCAATTCAGATCTCCATGTTTCTTGGACCCGCAATATGCACATCTCGTGTTTGGGGTCGCTGATGATGGGCCGGGTCGCTGGTCTACTGCCTGGCGATGTTGGTCGGCCTCCCTAGTCGGTAGATTCTTTGAGAACCTCACACTTGGGTCCCTCCCCGCTTCTTTCTCCATAAGGTAGACTCGTCTTAAATCTCCTTCGTTCTCCGAAGAGTCTGGGCTGGAATCTTCAGAGCTCGAGTCTTCCAGGGGCGTCCGTATTGCATGTATGGAGCGGCGATTCATATCTCTCGGCCTCTCGGGTAGTGCCGGTGCCTTCTGACGAAACTTGTTTGATCCAAACAACATCTTGCCTCGTCGTGCCTTCGTCCGCTTACATGCTGTCAATACTTCCTCCAATTCTTCTACATCCGCCAGACGCAGCATAGTCAACTTGTCTGCTAGCTCTGGGTCGTCCACCGTCAAAATGTAGTGATCGACATGATCCTTCTGAATCTTGGGCGACCCATCCTTAATCTTCATCTTCGCCCTGAGTCCAAGAACATTCAGGCGGTACAGATAATCCAGCGGGGTCTCTATCGACCTTTTCTTCGCATGGTAGTACTGGCGGGCGACCGGTACCCCCGTACCACAGAAACGAATCATGAACTCTTGGATTAAGTCCTTCCAGCTACCTCGGACTGAGCGACCCAGTTGACGGTACCAATTCTGTGCCGGTCCAGTCAGCAATCCTCCAAAAACGAGACATCGTTCATCATCTGGTGCTTGGTCTCTTATGAATGCTGTCTTGACCGTCGACACCCAGCTGCGCGCTCTGTCTTCGTCTTGGTCTCTTCCATGAAATTCTTTAAGGTCCGAGGTTGCCGATAGTTTGATGCGAGGGACCATATTTGGCATCTGTCCCAGCGCTGCGTTCGCCATCATCGACTGAGGTCCCCTGAAATCCATGTTGTCAGGGTCGAACTCACAGGAACCGACGTATTCCATATCGACGTCGGTCATCGTGTGGCCTCTTGGCATTTGTATGCCTGGATGCTGGTCGTGGTGAGCGGTCGTCCTTTGCGCCTCTGGTCTTCCTCCTGCTACACTCCCGTTAGGGTGTGCCCGCGGTACTTGGCGTTCATTCAAAAATCTTGCCATCGCCGCGTCGAAGAGGGTCTGCAGATCGCCTACCGGGTAGGTAGGTCCTTCCCCCCCAGCATCTTCGTCATGGGGCAGAGCAAATTCCAATTTTTTCTCTTGCTGATTTTCCATTGGCTGAAAATCGGAATGATTTTCATTCTTGCCACGCGTCGCCGTTTCAAGACCACTTGGCTCCTGCTCCGCGCTGCGCGCTCGGGCCTGGAGCAGCGCCGCTCCAGTAGGGCCTAGGGGCATCCTAGTGACCGACCCAGTTGAGGACGATCCTGGGGACCACGGTGCTGCTTCCCTCTGGCCGCTTGGCATCCGGTGTTGAGATGGGTCTTGATTCGCCCCTGGGTGACCGACGGCTCCGTACATGTGGGGACCCACCGTGATGTCCTGAAGCGTCATCTGGCTGTTGGACCGCATGTGTGTAGGTGTCACCAGAGGTGGGTGTTCCGTTGCTGGTGTGGTACCCACCAGGATCGAAAGACGCTTGTGCATGTGCTCTAACGTTGTTGTGATTCTGTCGAACCCCAGGGATAGCAGGTCGTCCGGGTCGAACCGACCTGCGACCATGTTCGCTTCACGAAGCATGGTGACCAGCGCTGTGATCGCGTCCGTGACGGAGTGCAGCCGTGGCAGGGTCGACACCGGCCCAGTGAGTTGACCCAGCTGTCGGATCTCCAGGATCTTCGCGACGGGGTCGCTCTCCAGGAACGCGTTCAGCTTGCGCTGGTGGTAGGCCCTCGTGACATCAGCGTCTGTCCATGACGCCAGTCCTTCCCTCTCGGGGCCTATCGACTTGGTGTTTCCGGGTGCCTTCATCCGGAACTTCGTCGGCTTGGATTGCGCGATCTTGTTTTGTTGTTTTTTTGGGGACCTTAGCCTCTCGGTTTTCACCGTCGGCTGATGGTCCTCTGGATCATGATAGGCGTCATGACCCAAGGTGTCCTCAACGAGGACATAGGGAGGGTATTTAGGTTTTTCTTCAATGGATTCAACCTCGACCATGTTGACCGGGCCCCTCCCAAGGCCCGGTCGGTCCTTCGATCCTTTGATTGTTTCTTCTTGAGTCACTGGCGATCGGTCTTCCAGTGACTCTTCGGTCTTGTGCTCCTTCTTGACATGAACATCTTTATCGTCTTGGGACTCGCGGTGGAATCCCGCGTCTTCCAAAGATCCGGGCACGCGCACCATTGTGGTGGAGTGGGTTCTCAAAATTGTATGATGAGGCCCCAAACCACTCACTGTGCCGGACTGCCGACTGTCGGAGGGGGTACCTCGATGCCGCGTATGAACCTTCTCTCACCTTGTGTACCCGTCGGCTGGCGGGTTGCACTCTTCGGAGGACTTGGTGAAGATGTAGACGTTCTTGAGGGAGGTAGACCTGGGGGAGCCTCGAGTGGATATGCTTCACTCGGTGGGCCGGTAGGTGGCCACTCGATCGACCTTGTCGAGAGTGGGCTTAGAGAAAAATTCTTCAGGGGCTCTTGTCGTCCCTGGCCTTTTCCTTCTTGTTTTTGGGGTATCAACCACCTGACCTCTACGTTGCTCCCGGACCTTGAGGTGAGGGAGACCGCTTCCGATAGCGGGTCTTGGGGGGTGTTGCTACTCGAACGAGCTCACAGGCCAAATGTATCCTGGAGCTCTATTCGCACTTGAACTTCGCTACACGACTGTCTTCGACGGGGGACAAAATATATCCCTTCCCGGAACAGTGAGTAACTTAGAGCAAGTTCTTCTTGGGTGACGGAGTCGTGCCACGTAGATCGCAAATTGAGTAGTATTTAATATAGTCCTATCCTTTTAACTCCTTTACTCTATCCTTGCCTGAAGCTCTGATTCCTTGCGTCGACTGGTCTGATCCTTGTATTAACTGGTCCGGAGTCGCTGAACCCCGAGGGGCCGAGGTCGACCAATGAGGGACCAGGTCTACCAATGAGGGACCCAGGTCTACAAATGAGGGACCCAGGTCTACCAATGAGGGACCCAGGTCTACCAATGAAGAACCGGGTCGACCAACGAGGGGCCAGGTCGATCAATGAGCGGCCATGATCAACTCCCTTTTGGTACCGGTTAACCGGTACCCTGATACTGATTTTTCTTCGGCGAATCCTGCGGATTGTCCTCCACCCACGGTCGCTCCCCTTTGAGGCCCCTGTCTCTCTGGTCTCCTGTCCCTGACCCACGGCCCATACTCTGAATCCCACTGGAGTCCGGGACCTCCATATCATAAAATTAGCACTTCACCACAGGCACTTGGGTAAGGTTTTTTTCTTAAATCGTAATGCATTCATTTCATTAGTTCTCATCTTGGGATATAGAGATTATTATCGAGGTTGCACGGCGGTTGGAGCATCATGCCGAATCAAGGTTGAAGTTACTATATTGCATATGATGAATTCTCAATACCGATCCTTTAGAATAGTAACTATAATATGTATGCTTCTTTATAGGATGAAGTCTCATCCAAACATCCGTGTATGATGTACATAGTGTTGGAAACTAAAAAACGCGTGACAAAATGACTTTACTTACGGACGCGTGCCAGACGCGTTTTGGCCCGCCGCCGCGGGCCTCCTCAGTGGCTTACCGATCGCAAAGTGATCCTACTTAGTGCAGTGGCATCTGCCGCTGCCACAGAGTCTACCTATGCATCGAACATTCTAGAACTAACTAGAATAGACTATTCTAGAACAACCTAGCAGACTTCACCGGCGTACATCTAGTACCCGGCTAGATACGAAGTTCCACTTTCCAACACTCCCCCTCGCCGGTGAGAGTGTGCGACTTGGTACCCGACGCTACAAGCACGCTCGTTGACTGCTCATCATAAGCATTCCTGTCAAGAGTACATGCGCTGGCTGCTTGTACGCACGCATTTCTTGCGCCGCCTTGAGCATCCCTCCAGCATATCCCAACTTCAGCGTTGTCTTCGCATCGACCCGCTCGACTAATCGGCGATCTGATGGTCCACAAACTTCTTACGCTTCTTCGTCGTCTTGCACTTTATAATAGCCGTCCTTGTGTCTTTTAAATTGCTGTCCTTTGCATTCCACCATCACTCCGCGTCGTAGTCTGACTTCGGATGCATCAGCCATTGTTAGCGTGCTTAATACTGCCATCCATCCATCGTGTGTGTGTGCTCCCCCTAGCACCAACTGTCTCACTTGCGCCGATCATTCCTTCCGCTCAGTCCTCTGTCACGAGCTCCTTCGTTTCGCACTTGTGCAGCATACTTGGTGGCGCGCGCGCAATCTTGGGCTCATAACCTGTTGAAATGGAGAGACTTGTGCACGAGAGAGGAATTTAGAGAGTAAGTAAAATATATATTCCTGAGCATAGCAACTCGCATTTGAACCTACTTCGTGTTGATTTCACACGACTGTTACCTAGAGTCATCCAGCAGTGTAACTGCTCAAGCGACTGCTCCCAGGAGTCGGCCGGCTCAGCGACTGTTCCCCAAGATTTCCAACACTCCTTTCCGACTCATGGGAGAGTCAGGCAACAGAAGTTTGTTCCCACCTTCAGCCGCAATTCAAGCACCCGTGGCGCTGGCAGTGCCTTTGTCAGAAGATCAGCTAGCATGTCGTGTGACTTTACGAAGCTTGGCTTGACGACTTCTTTCGTAGCATAATCCCGCAGAAACTTGAGCTTCACGTCCACATGTTTTGCACTTGCCGAGCTGGCCTCATTTTCAATTTGTTTAATAGCGGCTTGATTGTCCATAGCAAGCACAATTGGCGTCTTCACTTGCAATCCTAGCTCAGAGAATAGTTCCTTTAGGCCAAGCACCTCTTGACCTCCTGCAGCTGCAGCGACAAACTCTGCTTCCGCAGTCGAGACTGCAACCGCCGACTGTTTTTTGCAGTGCCATCCGGCAGTCGCACCATTAACCATTATTACTGCCGCGCTCACAGACTTATGGTCTTTTCGATCTCCAGCAAAGTCTGCGTCCGTGAAGCATGTGATGCGGACTGGGATCAAATTTCCCTCATCCACACGTAGCTGCATTTTAAGGAATCGAGTGCCAATTAGGTACCGTGCGATTCGTTTGGCCAATTTTCAGTCTTGTATCGTTGGTGCATGGCATTGTCGTGTGGCCCTATGCACCGCAAAGCCGATATCAGGTCGCGTGCACCGGGCTACCCAGAGTAGACTCCCGACCAATGACTGAAATTCTCTTACGCTTGGTAGTCCAGCTTTGCCACTCGATATCACCGATAGAGCCACTGCTCCTTCCAGACTTGGCTCTTCATCTCCAATCGGCGATCTTACCGCGTTTTTGTTTTTAAGTCCGAAACGTGTGAGCATCTCAGCAATTGTGCTCTCCTGGTTCAATGCATAGCCTGGTCCGTCCGGCTCCACTTGCATGCCAATGAACTTGGCCGCCTCCCCCAGGTCCTTAAGCTCTAGCGCCTGCATGTCATCAAAGAAGGCATCCACGCGACATGTACTTGTCGCGGTCACCAGCAAATCGTCGACGTATGTTCCAATCACTGTCGTTCCACCTGAATCCACTTTGTAAAATATACAAGTATCCGTGATACATTGCGCGAAATTTAGCTCGAGGAGTGTCTTTCTGAGCAGTTGATGCCAAAGGCGCCCGGCTTGTTTTAGCCCATATAAGCTTCGCTTAAGACGCAACGCAAGGTCCTTCACGCTTGACACGCCCAGCTTTTGCAACAAACTTGACGGAACTCTCATGCCGTCGGGGACATATAGTAGAATGTCGTACTCTTCTTCGGTCATCGCTTTGACGTAGGCCGCTGGTACGTCTCCGTGCCTAGCGCGTACACCCCAAATCATCAAAAGAATTAAAATTACTCTGACGTTCCCTATTTCCATCACTGCAGCAAAAGTGAGGACAAAGTCAACCCCAAGTAGTTGCTCATTTCCACACGCAACAAGACGCGCTTTAAACTTTTCAACTTGGCCGTCACCACGTCGTTTCTTCTTGTAAACCCACTTCGTGTGGAGCCGCTTGGCACCAGGCTCACACTTGATCAGCGTCCACGTCTCATTTGCTTCCAACGACCGCAGTTCTTCAACTTCTGCCTGCTCCCAAAGGTCACTGTGGGGGTCACGCCGGGCCTCTTTATAAGACTTAGGGTCTGGCCCGTATTCAACTTCTAATGCGATCGATGTAGTCGCGGATCCTTCGACCACTGCTAGCACCATCAGACGAGGCTCTGATTCAATCGACGGCACTTCTTCTTCAACCTCATCTGCCTCGATTTGTCGACGCGACTTCTTCTTTTTGCGCATAGATTGTCTAAGCTTGGAGCCCTCTGTAGTTTTCTTGGCATTTCGCGCGCCTTGCAAGCCGTCCAATGCCCCTTCGGGAATTGCGCTGCTGTCATGAGCATCATCACCGCCTGCTACAACGGTAGAATAACCGTTCTTTGTTCTCTGCAGTTCGTCGTCGCCAAACGTTTCGAGCGCCCGTCGAATTTGCTCGTTAGCAGCTGCTCCTAGCGTCTCGATTGCGCTGATGTGGCGCGTCGTCGTCACCTTTCGATCTTTTGATAGCAAAACCTTGTAACCTTTAGTTTCGTCATTTTTTTCAATGATATATCCTCTCACCGCGTGTCGCTCAAAATTCTTCTTCTTCGTATTACGAAAAACCATGCATGGCGACCCGAACACTACGATGTCGGTCAGGTCTGGAACTTGTCCAGTCAAAAGCTCGAGGGGTGAAGCCCTGTTCGCGTTCGCACGCGTTGGGCTGCGGTTGAGAATGTACGTAGCGTAGTCAGCTGCATCGCTCCAAAATGTGAGAGCAAATCCTGAGCCGAAGATCATGCATCGAACCATGTTCATTATAGTTCGGTGCATACGCTCAGCTTTTCCGTTGCTGGCTTGATTTGCAGCTTCACTCACTTGACGAGCTACTCCTTGTCGATTACAAAGCAAGTCCACGTTAGCGTATTCACCTCCGCCATCAGTGCGGAGGACATGCACGCGACAGTCGAAACGTTTCTCGAAAAATACGAGAAAGTGATCAAACTTTTTGGCAGCTTGATCTTTTGTTTTTCCTGCAAACACACGCACGTAATTTGTCTTGTGATCCACGAAGTTGACCATATAGCGATTTCTGTGTCGATCGAGCGGCGTGATGGGCCCTTTCAAGTCACTGCAAATTACACCGCCTACGCGGTCGATTGGCGAGTTCTTTCCTGAATCTCGCTGTGGCTGTCGTGACTTGGTGGCTTTTCCTTCAACGCAGATTTGACAATGCACGCGCCTGAGGTCCGTGAGCTTAATTCCCGACTCGGGCTCTCGGGCCATACGCTCGATGGTATCGAAAGACAAGTAGCCAAATCGAATGTGAAAATCCATCAGGGTGCCTTCTTGATATTCCGATGCAAGTGGCTGTCCGACGACTGCATTCATCACTATGTCTGAAAATGTCTTTTTCTGTAACTGAGGAGAGCAGAGTTTTGCAACCAGCACGTTTGCTTCTAATTTTAGGTGACATACCACTTGAGACGGTGAGCCCTTTGCAATAACCATGCTTCCATGACGCGATTCAATGCGACATCCTTGCTTAGCCAATATCCCAAACGATATTAAATTACGCGATAGAAGCGGCGCAAAATACACGTTGCTCATCTTAAGCTCGAACTCTTTCCCTTCGGCAATACCGATAAGCGTCACAGTGCCCTTCTTTGTAACTTGAAGCCGCTCGCCGTTTGGAAGGAGTAGCCAGTTGGTCTCGTTACAGTCCACGGCGTGTTCCAGCATCGAGACGTCGCGAACCAAGTGTCTACTTGCACCGCTGTCCAAAATCCAGTGATCCAACTCCACAGCGTCCCCATGCGCTGCAAGCTCCCAGCGAGTCTTCTCACCGGCACTGACGCTGTCTTTCTTTTTCTTGAATTTGCACTCTCTGGCTATGTGGCCGGGTTTTCCGCACGTAAAACATTTTCTTGACTCGCCCACTGCATTTACGACGCCCTTTACGTGATTCCTTATCGGGCGATCATCATCCTCAATCTCTTGCGCCCATGCCACGAGTTCTTGTGCATGGTGAAGATAGTCAGTGCGACCTGGATCATATCGTCCCATAATCGCAACCTTCATGTGTGGCGCAGCGTACTTCACGACGCTTTCAAGTACCAGTTTCTCGCTGGTCTCACTCGAATGCATGAGCGCCGTGAGGTATAACAAGTGCTCGGTCCACGAACGCGAGCTGCTCTTTTTTGCCCCGTACAGATGCACAGCTTGGTGATGGGAAATGTTCACTTTAAAAGCGAGCCACAGCTGCTCGAGCAGATATGCGATACTTTGGTTACGCATCCACCATCCTTCAATGTGTGCTTGATAATACTGCAAGGCCGTTCCCTCCAGGTGCTGCTGGAGCTTGTTCGCCTTAACTCGTTCAGTCCATTTGTACCCGCACCCGAACTCAGCCATCTCAATGGCCTCAATGAATAGTAGCGCCCACTGGCGAAATCCACTTCCCAGTCCTTTGTATTTCTCCACTCCGCTGAACTTTCCGATCATCAACTTTGAGCCTCGAGCGTTGGGCACGCGATGTCCACCAAGACCCGGCAAGCAGCCAGGGTCTGCGTACGGCGTTGGGGGCGGTGCTTGTTGATGATGCGCCTGAGCTTAATACTCTGCTTGCGCTTGGGCTGCCGCTTGTGCTTCCAACGCGGCTTGTGCCTCCGCCGAACCTTGATTAACCCGCGTCTGTACTTCGGCGCGCCTGTAAAAGCTCCCAGCCCAAACGGTCCCATACCGGACAGCTCGTCGATCTGCATTGGCGTACGCCCTAGCGCACTGCCTCCATCTATTGCGCGACGAAAATAGCTCCCAGCGAATGCCACTTGCACCACGTTGCGCCCATCCGTTTGTCGCCCAGGTTGAGCATGTTGCATGCGTGGCGAGACAGGCGAAGCGTTTGACACGCTTACACTAGCTCTTTCAATAGTGTCTATGCGTGTTTCCAACCGCGTGAGTGCTGCGAGCACGCGCTCCATGTCGGACAGTGACGTCTCCTGGTCAGCGTCGCTCCTTTCGCGAGCGACTCCTCCGGTCGGGGGTGTTCGTACCTCGCCGACAGAATGCTCAGACCCGTCGCTTGGGCTCATAACCTGTTGAAAACTAAAAAACGCATGACAAAATGACTTTACTTACGGACGCGTGCCAGACGCGTTTCGGCCCGCCGCCGCGGGCCTCCTCAGTGGCTTACCGATCGCAAAGTGATCCTACTTAGTGCAGTGGCATCTGCCGCTGCAACACAGTCTACCTATGCATCGAACATTCTAGAACTACATAGAATAGACTATTCTAGAACAACCAGTACCCGGCTAGATACGAAGTTCCACTTTCCAACACGTAGTACGTCGGTATCGGTTATCAAACAATGCCCACACTCAATATTCCTCAAAATGAAGTATCAAAACACATTTTATGCTGGCTTACAACCGTGACTTAATGTTTGGATCTAATTATTTAACTGTCGTGTAACCCCGTTACAGGTGTCGTAAGTCATGGCATATCAATGTCGTACTTAGTACACCGAGCTACACTTCGCTACGTATGGAATCCGAGCCTCGAGCTGGCAAGTGTACATTGCCACCTACGGACATAAAGGGTTCGTTGATCATCATGTGGTGTACCTTTGATCCACTGCTGAGGTCTTAGCGCAAGTTCGTCCCAAATCAACTTATCAAATTGAAACCTTGACACAAAGGAGATGAGAGGACTATTGGAGACAAAAGTGAGCAAAGGATAACGATGGAATGCAGCTGCAAATTTGCATGCAGATGCGATGCTTGAGTCTCTTTGTAGGAGAACTGACGTCGCCAGCTCAGCAAAGATGCCAAAGTCATTGCGGCGAGTATGGACACTGTGAACACAGTGTACATACATGCACCGCTGACGACATGGAATCTGGTGCAGCGTCCATGTCGTCAGCGCTGCATCAATAGGAGCATCTGAATGATGGCGAGCTCTATGAAGTAGAGGATCAGGTCGGGGGAGTCGCATAGCAGGGCGCGCAGTTCAAGACGTAGTATGGTCATATCGACTACTCTTAAACGACTGCTGCATCATTATTATCGGCCTCTTTATATTAACTCGAATGGAAATTTGCTTTTATGCAGCGGAGCTGGTTAACGTCGGCAAATTCACACAACCTGCGTATAATCGACAGGATTCGTCACCACCCTCGGTAATGTCTGTACAGAGTCTGCAACAGTGCCTATTGTTCAAAAACTTCTGAAAAGCCCACTGTGCCTCCTCAATTTCATTCAAGGGGCTTGAAAAGGCGAGACGAGATTCAATATTTCTCGAAATTATCACAAGCTCGTGACCTTGAACTTCCTTTGGTTCCACCCTGAAGCTGAATTTGCATGCTTGGTCACATTTCATCTCATCCCCAAAGCCTCGCAGCTTGGTCGCTTCAGCCCCATCCAGCCATACACGGTTTGTTTTCAAGTTGCAGCTCAACAAAAAAGTCAACACCATCTTTCAAGTCATTTTCTCTTTAGCTCCATCACCTCTTTTCACAAACTTTGCCCCTCCACGGGTATAGAGATGATTTGTCTTTCTCTGACTCTTAGCATCACCATCTTCCCCTCAGGAATTGACATTTTGTGATAAATGTGATGACGAAAAACTTTACTGTTTGCTACAAAGGATTGAAACAATTAGATGTATCGAAATAATCGTATCGGTGATGTATGATCGTTTAGGTACAAGCTTAATTCTTTTGTCGTACACCCGTTGGGTTTTGGAAAGTGTTTGGAAAGTTGAGCAAGTAACAGTAATCTTTGATTTAGCTCGTCAGTATTCTATTTGCTACAGGCAGACAAGATGGAAAGTCTTCAACATGCAGAATCAAGCTTTGAAAACGAATCCGCAGCACCGGAAAAATATCTCTTTCGCCTAATGAAACTAGTGCGAGAAACCCAATGCGAGATGGAGGTGATAAAGCCCGTGCTGGATGAATTGGAAGTCATGCGATTGTGTTGCAGCTTTGGAATGATGTCGTCCGTGAATGCCAAAGATTTCAACTATAGTGCTTTGCACGCACGCGAGTTTGATGATGACTTTGTTCGATTTCTTCGATTTGAGCTGCTGGAAAATTCATGTCCAGGACACGTCAACATGAAGGGATTTTTTGGAAAACAAACACAAGTTTCAGAGGCTTTGGTTGACATGAAAGCGTGTTCTAGGGAGACACTTGCGTCACTCACTGAAGCCAATGAAGGCATTTACTGTGTAAAGGTCATTGCCGACCAAAGTGAAGCTCAAGGGAACGAAGACGAGAAGCCTAGTCTGGTGGTGTTCTCCTGGATCCGTGACACGCAGTTTGAGCCGCAACGGCTTCGGAACACGCCAGCATTTGTACTGCGTTTTCTTACGGGATTGACCCCTGACATTATCTGTTGCACCTCACCATCCGACATGGAACAGATAAAGACAGCAATGGCGTCTTCGAATGACCAACGAGACGACGATCTGTCTTCATACTCCGTCTCATTCCATATTGAGAAGCAAGAGGACCAGCCTGATAGTACTGAGTGTATGGCAGTGTCCTCAATCGATTTGGAAAACATTCCTGATGATTGCTCCGAAATTTGCTTGATAAAAGGAAGTTACCCAGCTATCGCCATCACGAAAACGATGAGCTCTGCAATCCGTACTGTGCCAGTTCGACACACGTTTCACGTGCCAGGATCGTTTCCAGAGTGGCTAAAAGATGAATCGAAGGACTTCCGAATTGATTTAAGCCATGGAATTGTTCGATCAGTAAAACTCGCCCAAAATATTCTGAAAAAATTTGAGATGTGGCCCGAAGATGAAGTGAATGCTTGCCGAGATGCTCATGAGAAAAAATTGAACGATGATTACGACGCAGCAACTATGAAGCTGAAAACTGAGATTGCAGAAAAAAAGACGGTGGTTGATAACGTATCGAATGAGTTGTTTCGTCTCCGCGCTGTTGGGACGTCGAATGCAGAATCTGATGTTTCTTCGCAGACAGCCTTCGCAGCCTATGAGGCATTTCGAGAATGGCTCAAGTCAACGTGCTCTTGGAAAATTGATCGCAAGATTGAATTGAGCTTAGACACACCGACGCGCTTTCAAGAAATAATGGGTGTGCTGTTTGAACTGTATTCTCGTGGTCATGAAGGTGAACTGAGCAAGATAATAGAAATGTGCGCTACTAACTCCAAAGCAGAGATCTTGAAAGCCATCAAGAATCGCAACTTAGAGAAAAAGAGTTCCGATTCGAAAAAGGTGGTTGTAGATGGCGAAGAACAAAAGGCAATGTGGCAATCATTTTTAGTGTCAACTGCTGGACCCTTGGACAAACTACGAACGAAATGGTGGCTTGCTTTGGAAAGCGTGCTTGCCACAGTTAGTGAAGAGCGACTAAAAGATCTGAAGAGTGCGAAAAAGCATGCCAAGACTGCCTGGTATGATGATCAGAAGGTGGTCATCGCAAACAAATTTAATGAGCTGCGTAAAGCTTTATTGTCGAGAGACGGATTGTTGCTGTCTGTTAGCGCACATACCCGTGGCAAAAGAACTGTTCTGTGTGAAGGAACCAGAGAGGTTCATGCTCCACCTACTGCTTATCACGATATTGTAAAGTTGAATACGCAAGAAAGGAAACTGAAAAGAGCTGACGAGCGACAGGAATATCTGGGTCGGCTTCTACTCGAACCAGACACAAATCATGTGGCAATTTTTACCGTTAAGGTGCGATCTGTAGTGCATATTTGTACAGGAAGCGAGCGCATGGCTGCAAAGTTAATCCATTTCCCGGTGACTACAAACTCTCGTCGACCTCCACGCGCTAATGAAAAGGTCGTTCGCACATTTGGCAAATTTGCCTCAGCTTGTGACTACGACGCCCGGAATCGAGTTTTAACATTCCTTTCGAAAGAATCGGTGGGGATCTATAAGTTTGATGAGTCGTTCAAGCGTTTGGATTGTATGAAACATATTGATTTGGATGTTCGCTCGACGCTTACAGATCTCCCATTCACGGATGTCCTATTATTAGATAGCACGGTGTACGTGACCGACTCGAGTGGAAGCTCTCAAGGTATTGACATGCACAACGATCAAACGTCAAGCGTCATGAGTGTGCACGCTGGCACTGAAGTGGATGTTTCGCACAGCCGTCTGCTGGAACTAGCCGATCACCTAGCCGTTGGAGTTGTGTCGTGCGCACCAAGTGATGATGGAGCTTTTGAAGGGAATCTTGAGTGCAATTCTCGAGACGATCACCGCGCCCTACCGATCTTGCCTCTTGGTGTGAAATTTCTGACGGACAAAGTAAGTGCCCAATGTGTCGATGACAAAGTGCTCGTTCTGGACCCCTTGGCACAAAAGGTATATGTATTTTCCATCCAAGTGACTGTGCGTAGTGATTCGTACCGAATGCGGCAATCTGACACCACAGGGTCAAAGTCCGATGACCCTGAATCAAGCAATGCTGAATGCCCACGGAAGCAACACTGGATGTACACGTTTTACCACGTATTCGAGAAGTTTCCTGTTCGCAGCTCTCTGGATCGTAGTGCACCATCACTTGTGTCGCTTCTTATCGCTTGCCCTGGCGTCGAGAACACCGCTTCTGCTCTTGAGAGCTACCACGATTTTCTATCGCTGCTCATGAGCGACCTAATGGAATTGAACAAGCCCCTACACGGACTAAATCTAACGAAAGATCTTAAAGTGCAGCGTTCGTTGTTGGGGGTGACTTTCGATTCAAAGTCGCTCAAGTCTTTTTTTCAGACGCTCATCACATTCCTGCCAGTTCAAATATGTCGTGCCGAAGGAAATGCATTAACAGTATTGCATGATGGAATGGATCAGTCATTGGATGAGCTAGATGTGGACGTTCAGGCGTGGGGGGCAGCCGACATTGCAGAGTCGGTTCGATTTGGTCTTTTATCCCCTCTACTATGTGCCTGGCGAGGTCGTTGCGTAGTGATCACGTCAATGGGTAAACAGTCTACCGGAAAGAGCTACTTTTTAAATCACCTTACGGGATCATCGTTCGCTATCGCCGGGAACCGTTGTACTGATGGCGCGTGGATGACGTTACGCATCATGCAAGATATCTTGTTAGTGGTTTTGGATTTCGAAGGTCTCGGGTCTTTTGAGCGTACTGATCAAGAGGATGTGTTTTTGTCGGTGTTAAATGCTTCAGTGTCAATGTTCACGATTTTTCGCATGGAAATGAGATTCGATAAAGACATTGATGGGCTGTTCACCAAGTTTCAGAAGGGAATCAATCTATTGAAGAATGACGAGCGGCTTTTTCAAGGAACTTTGTACATGAGTGTGAAAGACGTTAATCCGAACGATCGTCAGGGCGTGCTAGCGGAGTTTCGACGCAAGTTCCAGAAGCTGCTGACTGCCAATCGTGAGCAGAATTTCCTCACAGAGATGTATTCCGGCAAACTGGGAATCAATTGCTCCCCGCCTCTAGGGACCTTGGGCTATTATGAATCATTGCGTCACGCGCGACAGTTGATTGAAAAACTTGTCAAAGACTCTGAATCATTGCGCGGATTTAAGAGCGGGAGCTCTTTCCACGATTGTATTCGTTTGGTACTGGCAAAAATATCAATTCTGGATTGGACTGCTGTCGATAAAAGCTCTCAGCGACTGGAGATGAATGAGCTTCATCGAAAATTGCCTGGCGCTATCCGCACGGGGTGCTTGATTCCTTTAGAGGCCCAATTAAAAGACGAAAACCTGCCGCAGTGTCTCAAAGACCCTCTTCTTCACGACGAGAATGTTGTTTCCATGCTGGCTTTGAAAGAGCTTAGCCGTGACTATCCTGAATTGTCCGATAGCTGGGCAAATGCTGATCAAGAAGTGACTTTGGATGAAATAAATGACGAAGACATCGACTTTGGTCCTTCCGTCTGCATTCACGCTAGTGTTGACTCAAACCACATCCACTTCACTCTTTTGAGCCTGTTCCAGCGTTACTTGGCGTTAACCTCAAAAGGTTCGCTGGAAAAGATTGTCGACAAAGACTATGCAAACTTTGATGCAATCTTGTCGTTCTTGGTTCGACGTCGAAAAACGAAGGTGATCTTGTGGGTGAAGCAATTCTTGGGCGCGGAACGTTTTTTAGATGAATGGGAGCAGATAGAGCAGACTTATTTTCTTCCGTTCGAGGCTCAATTCAAAAGATGCTTACACTCTTGCGCCAAGTGTCAACTTCAGTGCATGCGATCCGTATGCCATTTATTTAATGAAGAGCACGATTGCGGTATGAGTCATGTGTGCCGCGGACTGTGTGAGTACTGTATGCGGAATTATCAACCCGGGAAAGAGATGCCTCATTGTGTTGGTAAGGCTGGCCATGAAGGAAAGTGCGATTGCGCGAAGGGTGATCATACCTGCGGAGCTGAGTGTAGTCTGGTGGGTGCTTCCAACTGCGGTGGGCTTTGTGTGATGCTTCAAGGACATGACGGAGATCATCGGTGTTCTGTGAAGCAGCACGCATGTGGAGCTGCATGTAGCGCGACCAACTGCGGTGGCAAATGCATTTTAAACACTGAACATAGCCACACTGTGCATAAGTGCCCTGAAACACAGTGCATTCACGTGTGTGAGATGGATAGCTGCAAGGAGCGGTGCAGTACCGCTAACCATTTTCATGGCCAACCCAGCTTGTGGGCGAAATTTGCCGAGGAGAATGGGCAACCGGCTGACGATGCCGCATTTCTTACGATTGATAAAGGACTGCTTCACTTGTGCAACTCGCGTCACGCGTGCACTGCAACATGTGAAGCGGATGGGGTCTGTAGCAAGACTGTTCAGGTATCTACGAGCAAATTCTCGGGGGCATGTGACTCTTTTGATTATGAGCTAAAGCAAATGGTCGCAGTTCGCAACAAGTGTGTCATTGTTCTTCAGCCAGGACAAATAAATCACGATGGATGTCCTCACTCATGTGTGAAGCTGCTTACGGATGGGACCAAAACTGTTCACGGATGCGGAGTGAGGTGTTCAGCTTGCGAGTATTATTGCGATAAACCTGTCGGACATGACGGGGACCACTCAGCTGCACATGGGAATATGCGCAACATGCACTTTGTTGCTCAAGATCGTGTTATTCCTTGGGAAAACCGCAAGTATGAGGTTGGAGAGAAAGGAATTGCCGAAATGTGCAACATGTTCTGTTCTTCGGCAGGACGGGGTCATGTTCACTATTTGAAGTGCGACAGAGCAGCCTCGTCTAGTTGTGTATACTCTGGTTTACCAGACCAACGTCGCCACTGTCATCTCGAGCTGAAGCCACATCCGAAACATGAGGTGGATGAAGTTTTACATGAAAAGTATTGGAAGACGATAGGATGGGAGGATCCCTGTCGATCTGCCGCCGAACGCCTTGTGTTTGGTAAATGTCCTTACTTGTGTGATGCTCCTGAGCACAATGGTGAAGACAAGTCACCATCCTACTGTGACTTGGATGTATGGCATGATCCGATTGCCACTTCAACAATTACTAAACGTGAGGGATATACAATCGTCAGTGGGCATCGCTTTGTGTGTTCTCACACTTCCGTGACAGGTTTAATTCACCATGTGTTTGTATTGGACTGTTCGGGGTCAATGCGAGGGAAGCCGTGGCAGAAACTGGTTGAGGGTGTTCGTAAATACATACTAAGTCGATTGGCAAGTGGTGCAACGCAAGATCTCGTCTCAGTGGTCACTTTTGGGAATCAAGGAATTATCGAGTATGAACGTGTCCCGATTGAATCGGCTCCTTATCGACGCATTGAATTCCACGGAGGTGGAACTTTCTACTCGAATGGCTTACGTGAAGCAAATGCTCTTTTTTCACGTACAGCTTTGGACGAATACAAGCCCGTGTTAATATTCTTTACTGATGGTCGTCCTGCAGATACCAAGAAAGGACCGAAAATGGCAATGGATGTGCGAGCACGTTATGAAAAGTTTGGACTACAATCATTTGTAGTGGGCTATGGACGAGCGAGTGAATTGGGGGTGGCGGATCTAGCTAAGAGATTGGGAGGTTCTGTTCATCGAACGCTCACTCCTGCGCACTTTGGCGAGACATTCCGCTCAATTTCTCTTTCGCTTGGAGCTCGTGCTGGACTTATTCACAGCACAACGAGTTAAATGGAGACATGAGTTACATGATTGTTAAGGACGTCTAAGCAGGTTATTTAGGAGAAAGTGAGCTATGATTTAAGGACGTAAGGACAAAATAATGAATGACTTGCAGGAGATGTTTTTAAAACGCAAGTTGAAGGGACATTGGACCTTGAGGTGGATGGCTGGGGCCTTTGTAACTGTCGTCGCCCTTATGCTATATTTCTATCTAATATTGTCTTTTGAACTGTATTTCTATTACTATAACTGTATTTCTATCTTTACTAATTAGTCTTTTTCACCATTAAAGTCACACAAAAAAATCCTGGCAAGTTAGCCATGCTGTGGGTGGATAAATACCGTCCAATGTCTCTCTCGTCACTAGATTATCATCCTGAAGTGACCAAACGTCTCTCGAATCTATCACAATCATCTGATTTGCCTCATTTGCTTGTCTATGGACCATCCGGTGCTGGTAAAAAGACACGTATCATGGCCCTCCTCCGTGCTCTTTATGGCGATGGTGCTCTTAAAGTGCGATTAGAGCACAAATCCTTCAAACTACCAAATCGTAGTATTAAAGTTGATATTACGACAGTTGCAAGTAATTTTCACATTGAATTAAATCCATCCGATGCGGGGACTCATGATCGTCTTGTAGTACAAGAAATGCTCAAGGAAATTGCTCAATATCATTTGGCCGATAGTAATGCTCAACGACCTTTTAAAGTTGTTTTACTTATGGAAGTGGATCGATTGAGTAAAAATGCTCAACATGCATTACGTCGTACAATGGAAAAGTATACAGCTACTTGTCGTCTTGTATTATGCTGTAATAATCCATCCAAAGTAATTGATCCATTACGTAGTCGCTGTCTTGGAGTACGAGTCGGAGCTCCTACAACTGACGACGTGTGCAACATCTTGCAAGGAGTTTGTATGAAGGAAGGAATCGATTATTGTCCTACATTGGGTCAACATATTGCTATCAAGAGTGAACGGAATCTAAGACGTGCACTACTTATGCTTGAAACTTGTCGTGTCCAAAAGTAAGTTTTTTGTTGATGGACTACTGAGGAATTGACAGCTGACTGTTGTTTGCTAGTGTAGTTACCCATTCTCACCCGATCAACAGATTCAATTACCCGCGTGGGAAGAATACATTTGCAGTCTGGCTAAGGTGGTGTTGCAAGAGCAGTCGCCCGCTGGGTACGTCCAGTTTTTTTTGTTGCCACTTTAAATTAAGTATCGTGAGATTTTTACTCACCTGCTGTTGTTTATGGTGTATCTTGTAGCCTCTTGAAGGCGCGTGAGATGATCTACGAGCTCATTTCCAATTGTGTGCCGTCTGAGGTGATCCTCAAGGTTTTGTGTCGCGAACTCATGAGCCGCCTGGACGACGACCTCAAGCACGAGCTGGTGCAATGGGCCTCATTCTACGAGCACCGTATGCAGCGCGGTTCCAAGGACATTTTCCACTTCGAGGCCTTCCTGGCCAAGTTCATGGCGCTTTACAAGAAGTTTCTGCTGGACTTGTACATGTAGCGAGTAACGAGCCAGCCAATAAACTGACATCTACACAGCCACAAATACTCTCGTCTACCAGTCGTCCCGTTATGCACAAATGTTTGATTTGCTATTTGCCAGCCATTCGTCTCAAGCGAGACCATGTGGCAGGTGGCCGTCTTGACACAATTTGAGACGCTGCGAGCGTTCTTGTCGAGCAACGAGTGCGAGAACGTCAAGTCGGCGCTATTTGAACAGTGCGGAGCTACTCGAGTCAATGCTAAAACCAGTCAGGAAGCGACTGCAGCCACGTTCCACGAGACAGATGCACTTATTACTGCGGGTAGCAGTGACTCAGCACATCTCGAGCGGTAATGTAGACCACAGGCTACCGACTTATCTCTGTTTACTGCTAACTAGTCTGGTACTTGCTGATTAGGTGGAAGAAGTGGAAGCTCGAAGGTGCAAAGATTGACAAACTCATGTCGACGACCGCCAGTGAAGCGAACACTGCGCTGAAGATTCTAGCGACAAAGGTAACAAACCTGCGCTTCTTCGCTCGTGGCAAACGTGGCGTTTTGTATGCTGGTGAATTGCGCTTGAACGATAAGCCGGTGGTGGCTAAACTGGCGGCAGATACGACTTTCGCTGAATCGGTGACGCTGGAGGCGCGTTGGCTCCAAGTGGTGAACCGCATGGGAATTGGCGCGAAGCTGATCGACTCTGGCAGTGGCTGGTTCCTTTGCGAGCGACTCGAAGGCAAGAACGTGGTGGAGTTTTTAGGCCAAGACCACAAGGTCACTACTCCAGCCAACGCTCGGTGGGTCATCCGTGAAATGCTATGCCAGGTATGCTGGAAAGTATGGCTTCGTGTTAGATAGATGTCCAATTAATGTCCAAGCTTATCTACTAGTGCTTTTCCATGGACCTCATGGGGGTGAACAAGGAAGAGATGACGCACCCACACCGCCATATCATCGTGCACCGCTCTATGCAGCTGCCGGGAAACTGGCGATGCACGTTCATCGACTTTGAAAAGTGCTCTTCTTCCAGAAAACCTAAAAATGTGACACAACTCTGCCAGGTACGCTCAGTCATTCAGTTGCCGAGTCTTGCCTATGACATATGCAAACATTCAATCTCGTTGTCATCTGCAGTTTCTAAGTTCTCCACGAATGATTGCGCTGCTGGCAAGTAAACACGTTAAGTTTGACATTCTGAAGCTCCGACAGAGTACAAAGCGTTACAAGCAGAAGCTTTCTACCCATACATTCAGCGGCATTATGCACGTCTTTGGGCTCTAGATGCATCAAATTGATGCAGCACGAATACCAAACAAGCTCGTCTCTCTCTCACTTTCAGATTTTCAAGCCATCACGTTAAACCCAATGACTACCCGGAACTCCCGCTACTGGCACAGCTTCCTGTCCAATCTTTTGACCTCTTCTAATGTCTCTGACGACATGATTGAATCCTCGTATGACGGTGTGTGCTTCTTCACGCTCTCGGGTCGCATTGAATACCGTAATGGCTGCTTTTGTGCTTCTTCGTCATCTGATTCTCTAGACGTAGATCCTCTACAATTCTTGGCCCTTTTTGACCAACTCACACGTCAGGCCATTCAAAAGAAGAGACATATTGAGAGCATGACACCTGCTCTAAGGTTTGGTTCCAACGTCTTCCACGTTGTGTCAGCTACCTTTTCGAGTATCTGTGCTGTCTCGAATGGTAGAACTCATGGTCTTGTGGTGGAAAAGCTTTCATTTGGAGTGTTAGTGGTGGCCTTTTCAGCCCCGTTGCGACTGGAGACGGTCTTTAGTCGTCTAGAGGACGCATGTGCTGCTCATCGGTACTAATTCATACGAACCACTCTTCAGGACATTCGCCGTCATGTTTGGCAAGGTAGAGACTGGCTGCTATGGATTTCGACACTGCCTTCAACTTTTACATCAAGGACTCGAGCTTCCCAGAGCATGACCAGACAAATGATCTCTGTGCTGTCATCTCCACACGCGCCTCGATTTGTAAACGTGTAAACTCGTTAAGGTAGACGAAATGATCTCATGTGATGCTACTTTTGCCATTTCTATGCAATGTACTTGCATTGTCTTCTGGCTGCCCGAGTCGAATCGAGGCTATCAGGAAAAATGGGGCCTACTTATGATAGTAAAGTGATAGGGAGTTGAAGTCAAGGCAACAGAGTTACAGACATGTCGAGTAGCAAGTCAGGCTGGTGGCGGATGGACGAAATGACCGACAGCGGGTGCAAAATAGTTTTGCACGCAAGCGGATGCAGGACAAGCAACATTTAGTTGGGCCGCGAGGAAGTTACAAAAGCAGATGAAGCAACAGGAGGACAGTGCCATCGGCACTGGTCAAGATGAAGTGTAGGAATTAGTTGGTCGTGTCTTCTCGAGTTCCATTTTCCAGTCCATTACACTTTTGACGCGAGCGATAGCAGCAGCGTCCAAATTGATGAGTTCAAGGGCATCACGCTACCTGTTGCGTATCCGTGGTACTCGCAGGCTCCAACATGATCCACTTCAGCAACTTAACCATATCCGCCCGGCAGCTAACCGTGTCTCCCATCATTGCAAGAATCATATCTTCATGTGTGCAATCGGCTACTTCGCAGTAGACAGCATTTTGGCCTGCTTTCTTCTGAAAAATGTACACGACAACGACATGTCTGTGTTAGATATACAGAAGCCTGCATGCAACGATGTTGTCAAGATGCGTACCAAACTGGAAGCAAACTTCTTCGAAGAGCTTGAAGGAACAGCCTGGAAGAAACGATCAATCACACGTCTACATAATGATTCACTTATTGTGACAAAAGGTATGTACCGTGTCATTATCTCCATGCAGGAGATAGAACGCAGGGAGCGAAAAAGCTATAGCACGTCGCACACAATTGCGTCGGTGATGAGCACGACATGAAGTTCAATAAGAAGCCTCTCATCACGATGAGCTACGCACCTATGTTTTCCGTCTCTTTGATAAGTGCTGTCGCGCTGTGCTTCTTAAAATTGGCCACGCCTAGCATAGCAGGCTTCATTGCAGATATCTCGTGTACTCCTATCATGATCACCCAATTAGTTAAGTTGGCTCAACATTTGTTTGAAGTAAGAGAAGATACCATTAAATGGCCCCACGATGCGTTCACTCTCGAAGATGTAATGATCCGACACGTCGTACGGCGCTGCTAGGCCAATGAATCCCTTAACGTAGTTTCCAATCTCCTTTTCCTTCACAGCCTGCACACAGGAGACATTAACGATTGCTATATCATAGAGATATCCAGAAGCTACAATACCTCCTTATCATTGCCAGCTAGACGGAGAGCAGACTTTACCAGGGCTAAAGACCCTATGTGTCCACCAGACGAGTGTCCGCTTAGATAAAGTTTGCTGGGATCTCCACCGAGCGCATGACAGTTCTCCGCCACCCAAAAGACCTACCACAGATCCATCATAGCCACGAATTAGCTTCTGCAGTAACAACAAAAGTCTTTTCATTCACACACAGCATTCTCAACGTCCTCAATCATATCCACCACTGAGCCAATGGGGAACGCTCTGTAACTCATGACTGCTACCAGGAAGCCCTGTGTGGCTAGATACTCTCCAACTAGAGCATACTGCCACTTATGACCAAAAGTCCAACCTCCTCCGTGCAAAAAAACAAGAACTGGTTTTGCTTTGCCTTCCTGAACTCCATAAACGTCGAGAGTATTACGTTCATGAATTCCATAGCGGCAATTCGCACGACAGTCTCGAGGTGTCCACAACAACAGTCGACCGATTCTTTTTGCTAGCTGAGGCTTTACCAGACACAAAAGGTACTCCGAGCTGGCGATAAGTTGTCCAATGAACGCGTATCTAAAAGTTGCGTGCACGTGATCGGACCATGGAAGACGAGGTTCGTTCTGCTGCAGCAGAGCGTGTTGCTGGCAAAGACTTCGCACAGTTTTGCGGGCGTAAACGAGGAGAGCGAGGGCAAGCGCCATACGCTGGAGGTTCGGCATGCTTTCCATGTTGTCAACGACAATTAAATTCTGATTTGACCGGAACGAGTGATTGGTGGTCACCGCAGCTTTTAACGGGGACAAGAATGCACTTTCTGACATTTAGTTCCACTTCTCCTTCTACAGATTTAGTAGTGCTGCTACCATTTAGTAGGGCACGTACTCAAGCTCATGGCAATTGTCAAACTGGACGACATCACCCCCTATAAACTTCGCCAGGGGATCAATACCCGAAAAGTTTTTCCATTGCTCAAATGTCCGTTTCGTACCAAGAGTAAAGTTTTTTAAATCCGTATGGTCAAAATCTTCCTTCGTGACAGGCAATTTGAGACTATATCGAACGCGGCGCCTAGACTTTTGCTGTATTAGATACCGCGCGTTCCAATCGCGCTCCCACACCACCTTTCGCTTCTCGTACCAGTGGTAAACGATGTTTTCCGACGGCGCGTAGAAATCGTAACCGTTAGTCCAAAGTCGGGCGGCACGCGAATACTCTTCACCATGGAAAAGGTACGGCGTGTATGGGTCGTCGCGCACCTCCTTTGCCTGCTTGCAACCGCCAAAGTTGAATCCGCCAGCCAGCTGCGATGACAACCTTGGCTTGGGCATATCCGTCTTATTAATCCATAAAGGAATTATGTACTGCACCATAGCGTCCGGATCATCCGTTTCAATACGCGCCATGCACATGCAGTGCAAAATATCGTCGAGTTCCTTTGTCTTCGCCACGGACATTGGGTACACAGTGATGATGGCGTTCGGGTTGTCCAGCGAGTCCCATTGCGCGATGATTTTCTCGTCCCAGTTGGGGACAAAAACCAAGTGCGAGTCAATTGCCATGCAAAAATCTTCATCGGTGACGGCCTTTACCGTCTCATACCGCGCAGTAGTTGGACCCTATAATGTAAAAAAAAACACCAGCGATGGACACCCATCACATAGTCAGACACATGGCAACAATAAAAAGGCCCTCTCTCTCTATCTATTACCTACCGTCGCATTGGCAGCATCGATCTGAGAAGACACAATCTGCGAGCGTCGACATAATTTCTCTCCCACAAGTTTGCAAAACTCTTCACTGCATGAAAGTTCCTTCTTTGTGGGGTAAATCTGGTCGTAGATACTAATTTTGATATCATCAGGTGCCACTGCATTGTCAAAAATTGAGCGTAACATTTCGGAACATCTTTTGCAATAAAGTATCAGCATTAGTAATCCATTGACTCAACCCCTTTGGAACAGGAACATATATATTCATACCTCGTTGAGTCACGGTAGTTGGCGACCAAAATGATGGTCTTACGTCCATTTACAACGGATTGTGACCCTGGGGGTTGTAAAACAGATGGTGAGTCCATCTCCTGGTTACTACGCAAGTAAACATCGTGGTTCTCAACTGAAATGTCCACAGCCACGCCATTGGCTGCGTATTCTTGCAAATAGAGAAACTCATAGAGCACCACAATAAGGCACATAATAGGAACGACTATAAGCATAGCCATACGTAGATCCCATCCAATACCTTTACGTAGAGCTCCACGGGAGCTCACACGTCCATATGGCTGAAAACTTGTCTTCATTGATTAATAGTCGTCTTTTTCTTTTTTTGTCTTGTCCTTTAGTGTAACGGGGTTACACGACTAGGATTCGATAATCGATAACGCTGCATCATACACAGATAAAGGTATTAAGTATGAGCGTTAAGATACGGTATTCGGTAATACCGTATCTTATCGATTAGGATTCGATAATCGATAACGCTGTACTAAGTACATCATACACAGATGTTTAGACGATACGTCGTCCAATAGCAAAGTCTGCATCTAATAATTACTATTATACAGTAGTGTAGTGTACTTAGAATAGGACTATTCATAAAATCTTAAAGCATAAATAAAATCAGTTTTCCTTTTGAGTTTGAGGTCGCAAGTCGTTATGACTTGTTCTCTTGTGCACTTCGTGCGTTGGTTCTCTGAACATATAAGCTTCTAGCTTGTTCTTGCACTCTGTGCGTTGGTTCTCTGAACCTTAAGCTTATTGCTTGCTGACTAAAAGTCTCTTTCCTCGTTCCTTAGAACAGGGTGGCTTTCAGTCGTTTAATTAGTTCCTTAGAACTAAGTAGCTTTTAGCCTTAACTCTATTTAGTTCTATGGAACTAAGAGGCTTTTAGCCTAATAAGTCTTCCTCTGACGTAAGAGCTGCGTAGCTCCGCTACATGTTGTGTCGATTATACGTGGTTGACAAAGTATACAAAGTGTACGAATTGTAACAGAACTCATAAGTCCGCAAATTGTCTCACAGAATTTATCGTATTTAAGTAAACAATAGCATTTGTTTATAATCTGTAGTACTAAGATCATACCGGTATGTACCGCAGCAGATACTGTGTCAGAGCTTGGCCAGAGCAAATAGCTGCAGCAATGCTGGCTCGCCCATACGCCAGATTTTGTCAGCCACGTAATGATTCTCATTCAAGACCACTTGTTCGCCCTGTAATGGGGTAAGCCCGTTACATAATATTGACACTTATATGAAGTGCCAATAAAAGGTATTATTATAACGAATAATATTTGACACTATTACCTTTTCCTGTAATATTGTTCCTGCATCTCCTTGAAGTTGGAGATATCCCTCTAACTGGTTGATATAGGCCATTATATCAACCAATGCGTTTACCAGTGACCGATGGACCCACGCAATGAATAGAGGGCACAAAAGGCAACATACATATTTGTACTTTTATATTGCTAAGACAATTCTAAAAAAACAAATTCACATTTTTTAAGTAGTGTGGTGGAGTGGGCTCTCAAAATTGTATGATGAGACCCCAAACCACTCACTGTGCCGGACTGCCGACTGTCGGAGGGGGTACCCCGATGCCGCGTATGGACCTTCTCTCACCTTGTTTACCCATCCTCTGGCGGGTTGCACTCTTCGAAAGACTTGGTGATGATGTAGACGTCTGCCTTGAGAGAGGTAGACCTGGGAGCCTCGAGTGGATATGCTTCACTCGGTGAGTCGGTAGGTGGCCACTCGATCGACCTTGTCGAGAGTGGACTTAGAGACAAATTCTTCAGAGAGATTGTCGTCCCTTGCCTTTTCCTTCTTGTTTCAGGGGTATCAACCACCTGACCTTTACGTTGCTCCCGGACCTTGAGGTGAGGGAGACCGCTTCCGATAGCGGGTCTTGGGGGGGGGGGGTGTTGCTACTCGAACGAGCTCACAGGCCAAATATATCCTGAAGCTCTATTCGCACTCGAACTTAACCTCGCAACTGTCTTCAACGGGGGGGGGCTAAAATGTATCCCTTCTCGGAACAGGTGGTAGCTTAGAGCAAGCTCTTTTTGGGTGACGGAGTCGTGCCACGTAAATCGCAAATTGAGTAGTATTATTATAGTTATATCATTTTAACTCCTTTAATCTATCCTTGCCTGAAGCTCTGATTCTTTGCATCGACTGGTCTGATCCTTGTGTTAAATGGTCAGGAGTGTCTGAACCCCGAGGGACCCGGGTCGAACGAAGAGGGACCGGGTCTACCAAAGAGGGGCCGAGGTCGACCGACGAGGGACCCAGGCCTACCGACGAAAGACCGGGTCGACCAATGAGGGACCGTGTCTACCGATGAGGGACCGTGCCTTCCAAAGGGGACGATAGTCGACTCCTTTCGGTACCGGTTATCGAGGCCCCTGTCTCTCTGGTCTTTTTTCCCTGATACACGGTCCTTTATACTCCGAATCCAACTGGATTTTGGGGTCTCCATGTCTCAAACAAGCACTTCACCACAACTGCCCCCTGCACTTGCTCAGCCGCACAGCGGTTTGAGCACGCGCATGTCTTCACCTCTTCCGTCACGTGAGTCCTTCACTTTGCCCTTTGTTGGTCGTCCAATTCTAACTTGTGTCGTTTCAGCAATGTCTTCCCCTAGTTCTGACCCATCGTCTGAAGAACCGTCCTTGGTCGTACCCGTACCTTCGATTGACCCTCCATCCGAAGAACCGTCCTTGGTCGACCTATCCGTGCCATTCTCTTCACCTTGAGTTCCGCCGAGACTGCCACCGTTGATAGCCCTCCTGTCTCCACCGCTTTGCCTCCCTCAAGTCGGCCGATTCGGCCACTTCGGTCTCCATGGCCGACGGTCCGTCTTTCACGCTAGTCGAAGTGCGCGTAGCTCTGCAGGAACTGCAAGTTAACGTGGACGCGCAATCTCGCCGCATAGAAGACTGCGAGGTGTCGTCCCCCCTTCCGCCGACTTATTGGCTGCCCGGTGTGAGCGCCTAGAATAGAAGTTGCGTGACAGCCCCCGACTGTTGGTCCAACTCCGTAAGGCCCTTCAACGCGAGACGGCGATGGTGGACCGCCTAAGATAGAAGATTAACCACAGTCAGAGTCGTTACTCTCTTCTCGCAGCAGAGCTCGACCACGCCGACTTCTTCGATGGGCCGCCTCCGGGACCGGCTCCTTCTTCGGCGGTCTCGCCCCCGGCCGTATTTCCACCTTCGAAGCCGGCGAAAGCTTTCGGTAAACGGTCCAGGCAGAAGTCATCCCGCGTGCGTGCCAAGTCCGACAAGTCTTTGATATCCGCCACCTCTGCAATACCGCTATCAGGGACCTCTGGCGGCCGGTTTCCCGTCATGATGGATTCTTCGGAAGACGACCTCAGCGACGACAGCGAGACTCTTCGGGCGGCCCTGGCCAAGTCTCGTACCTCTGGTCTAGATCCCACTAGTACAATTTCCTCAAGTCTTCCGCCGAAGCCTATTTCTTCCCAAAGAACCACCTCGACTTCAGGCCTCTCGTTGAACCGAGCGATGTTCGGGACTTCTGACTCGGAGACTGAGTCGACCGCAGGGTAGGAAAATGACGCGTCCACGGTTTCGGTCGACAATCCACCCCTCCCGACCGACTCTTGTTCGCTCCCCAAGGATGCCATCATCCCTGGGTATATGCAGCTGAAGCCCTTTTCTGTCGCAGAGGTGGCACCTTGGCCGGTCGACCTTGTCAGCTCTTGGTGCATTGAGACAATGTCTCCAAAAGAACGGGTCGACCAGTTGGATCTGCCTGGGGGGGGGGTGGCTCGGTCCACTGGACGGAAACATTGACCGCCCTCCCAAGTGGAAGAAGTACATTGGTGAACCTCCCCAATGATACAGAAGCTGCTGGCTGCTGAACCTTGGGTAGCAGCCCGTGTTCCGATCCCACCTGTTTCCTTCCGACCTGTCGGCTGGTTTGCCCAGCTAGTGGCGGTCTACACACGGTTTGACGAAGGACATAGCCAAGCGCTCTGGAAGATGACCCATTGCCTGTGTATCTCTGAGGACCAAGCGCGAGCGACTCTTTTCTTGCGTCATATTACAACGCGCGGAAGAAGGGTCGGAGTCGGGCGACCTGAGCGTGACGGGAGGTGACTGACTTTATCTTCTTTAAGATGAGCAAGGGCCGATGTGATCTCGACATATTCCTGGACCCCTTCTTCCGACATCTTCCTCGAACCCGCCGTGTAGTATACTGGTACCCTGTTCGTGAGGAGGTATCAGATTTAGTAGAATTGCGAGAGGCCCGTCAGGTGTCGGATTCCGCGTGGCCGTGGCTTACCCAATATTGGTTGTCTTCCGTGCCTCATCCTGGAACTTTGGTCCCTCGCCTCAAGAGGAGGTTTAGTCTGCCCTCTTAGGTTTCCTTTTGAGCACGAACATTCGTTCTATTCGACTCTGTTTTTGTACGTCTGTCCATCTTCCATCTCTTCCGCCATATTTTCTTCTGTTTCCAGGTGATCTTGTGAGTCTTCTGTCTTCGTTCTTCTATACATCCGACTCGTGAAGAGTCAAGGTCCTCCCATCGAAAAACCAGGTCTACCAATGAGGGACCAGGTCTACCCAATGAGGGACCGAGTATACCAATGAGGGTTTCAGGTCTACCTATAAGGGTCTAGGTATACCCAATGCAGGATCCAAATCTTCCAATGGGAGACCATGGTCTGCCTTCCAAGGATCTTGATACAGTCCGCTACTTTTCGTGGCTTTGCATTACTTCGAAGCGATTATGGCTTGTCTTCTTGCTCTCGAAGTCCCGGAGTAAAGCTCCGCAATTCAGATCCACTTCGTTCACCCATGAGGGGTCAGGATGCCTCTTCCATTGCACGAGAAATTCTCGTTGTTGCCGTTCATACCGAGTCTTCTTACCTGTACGACTCTCCAACATTTCTTCGACTTCATACTCGCCATCCTCCAATTCCCGCACTCAGCTATCTTTTGGTAACACAAATTCGTCGAAATCAATCCGTTCTGCTCTGTCTATTTCCAGCTCGCTGCTAGGTCGATCGGGGAAATCTCTGACGGGCTTGAGCTTGGAGATGTGCACAGTTGGGAATAGTCTGTATTCCGTGCCTCATAGTTCCAAACGTACTACATGATCTTCGACTAGTTCCCGGACTCGGAACGGTCCGTGCCAGAGGTGGGCCAATTTCTTGGCATACCCTTCTTTCACCCGCTCTAAGTATAGCCATACCCGGGACCCTGGCTGAATTTAGTGACCGACTATCCCTTCATTATGCGCTTGCACCCGAGCCTGACTAGCCGCCCGT